GAGCCGGAGCGGCCCCGTGCCTGCAAACGCGGCAGAGCCAGCACACGGCAGAGCCGGCATCCCTTCCGTGCAGCCCTCGGAGCTGGAGAGCCAGAGGGGCTCACACTGTTCCAAGCAAAATCAGATTCTTTCCAGAAGTGCTCTTTGCAGTGATAAAAGCAAGAAGCAGTCAGCCCGAAGAGGAACACTTCTGGAAAATGCATCAGCCCCGCCATGCCTGTGTCATCCTGCTATCACCTCGGTTTGTGCCAGACACTGCCTGCTTGTCAGAAACCACCCTGATGAGGTCAGGGGCACCTTTTCTTTCTTCAAGGACTAATGATGTGAAAAGATGATACAAAATCTGACCGGTTTTGTTCAGCTCCTGTGCTTTATTAATAGCAGTGCTAATGCAGGAAGCCCCTGGGTCTTAAACCACTAAGGAAATCAGCGGGACACGCTTGTCTGTGGATGGTCTCAACTCAAAATTTCCCACTTATGGACTATTTTTTCATTTAATGTTATTGAAGCAAGGAAATAACACCAAAAGCCCAGGTGCAGATTTTTATTGGTCTGTGCCAGGAAAACAAACAAGGAATGCTAACACTGCTTTCTCACTCAAGCTTCTCTAAATAATCAGAACAGAAAAATTAGCTAACGAAATCCAAAGCAAGTTGGGGAGGGACAACTGGAGGGAGCTGCCACACCAAAATGGATACAGAATGATTCCAGGACAACACTGCTGGCAGGCAGCAGGAGGGACAGCCCAAGGGAGAGAGACGGTTTTCCATTCAGGGTGCCCTGAAAAAGCAAACATAATGTGCTTCCCTTTCCCTCACTATGCTCCAAACTCAAATCACAGAGGGGAAGGGAAACCCACCTCACTCATCTTCTCTCCTAGGAGGCTGTGGGATCCTTGTGGAAGTCTTGTCCAAGTTCACGTGCAACTGTGGCAGGGTGAGTGCTGTCAGCTGCACTTGGTCCAGCAGCTGTCCCAGCAGGAGAATCCTCCTCTCTCTCAGTGGCAGGTGTCTCCTGATGCAGTGCCAGATGAGCCAGAGCCCTCTCTGTGCCCCTGTGGATGATGTGATGAGCAGCATAGATGTGTTTTCTTTGGGACTGCCTCACTGCATAAAAAGAGGTAAGGCTTTTACTTGGAAATGCACAGCAAAGTGTTCTCTGTAGGGGAGAAGGGAGGAGTAGCTTTTAGCAATCCTGCAGCTGTGGAAAAGTCTGTCTCAGGAAAAAAAATCATGCCCTTCTAACTTTGGCTGAAAGCGTTCTACTGCCACCTAATAGCAGCAACCAACTTTGCATTTCACTTTGAAGACTGGCCCCACAGTGGGAAGCACAGCCAAAGTGTTCTCCTTTCCAGCTTTGGGAACACCTGGCCAGGACAAATTACCAGGCTTTAAAATAACTTCTTTACTGTCTGTTAATTGCAGCAAGCCTCTGGAAGAGCCCAGCTGAAATCTGCCATCTCCTGTGCCAGGCTTTGACCTGCACTGGGAAACCCTTACTGAGTTCAAAGTAAGACCTGGAGCCACAACTGACATGTGAAGTCACCTGCCTACCTTATCACCTCCCCTCAGCTACTGCAGGATTGCCTCCTTTCATCCAAAGTCATTTGTATGTATTCCCAACCCACCTCCTAGGAAATAATTAGCCAAGCCTCAGTGTTCACCCTACAGCTCTCCTTACTGCTCCTCACTGTTCTTTGTTCACTCTTTCCCTCTCTATTTCAGTCACAGGGACTGAGGTAGCGTGTGCCTTACAGAGGGTGTGAGGAATGATGCAGAACAAGGGGTGGCTCTCATCCTGTCACTTCCCTACAGAAGTCCAAGGCTTACTTTGGTCTGTTCCAAGGCTGAGCTGCACTGAGACTGTGAATCTGGAGCACTGGTGTTCTGGCACACAGTCCTGCTGTCCTGTCTCAGTCACTCAGTGTTACCAACCCACCCTGTTTATGTTTGTCCATCTCCCAGGCCCACTTTGTCGACAATGAATGCAACTGGATCTCACGTGCATTGAAAAGCTGACCTTCACCAGCCCTCATTCCCAGGAGAGATTTCTCTACCCAAGGCGTTTTGGCTTCAATCATGTTTGCATCAACTGCATCAGCTATACTGGGAATGCTCCCCTGGAATTGCTGCAGTCCCTTTTTCCATCCACAGTGAATTCCATCTAAAGGACAGTGTGCTGGAATTGGTGAGTGACTGTCCCTTTCCAAGTGAGGTTTTTCATATCAGCACAGTGACTTCTACTTCCACTGAGGCAGGGCTCAGAACTGAGGTGCAGAGGTTTTTCAGGGTGAGCCAGCATTGGATAATCCCTGCTTTTATGCATCAAAATGCAACAAAATGAGGAGGGGAAAAAAATCCCAAACTAGGTAATGGCAAAACAGGTGATTAAGGGGAAGCTAAAGTGTAGGCAAAGACTGAACCTGCAGGCCTCAAATCTTTGTTCTACAAATGGATTTGCTCCTTTGACAGGCCAGATAACTGCTCTTAGATAATTTCCTGATAGTTTCAAGGAAGGTGAATGCTCAAGCATGGGTTAGGTTGCTAAAACACAGTTTCATAATGAAAAATTTGGCTCACTGTAGGGAAGGCTTTAAAAGCCACCACAGAATGTAATACACTAATGTGTTTATGAGATCTAATGCCATTCTTTGATACTATTTCCTTTGGATTTCCATGGAATAGTTAATGATTATGCTTCCCTGAAAGTATCACTCTGCAGCAGGTTTACAGCAGGGTGTGCTCCTCAGAGTTTACATCAGGTAGAATTCAACTGTCTTAAGTGAATGGAGCCCCCTCCACCCCATGCAGCAATAGCAGAAGAGAGTATGAGCCAGGTCCCTTCCTGACATTTGATTTCTGCTGTCACAAGAATATTGTGACAAATTTCTCTTGATCACATTAGAAGGAGCTATCTTAATTGCCTGCTGCTCTATTCCACCAGCATCCACTTTAATTTTTAATTGGGTCTAGCTCCGCTTTCCAGGCACACTCACTGTAGCTATCACAGATTCTGAAGATTTTTTTTCTTCTGTTGTTTGAGAGTGCATCTGAGCTGCTTTGTTCATTAGCTGCTGCTGCATTTAAGCCCAGTATGTATTTTAAGCCTTGATGTATGTCCTCAGTATGTCCAGAATCCTAAGCCATCTCCAGGTCTTCCTTCTGCTCTCCTTCCTGAGACAGGCTAACCTGTGTGTGTCAGTGCCTGAGCTGCAGGCTTCACTGACTGCCATTACATCACCTGCTCTGGAAGGCTGGCAGAAGCAGTGCAGGAGTGAAGGCAGCTGATTTAAGCTTGTGCAGAAATGCCAGCTGCAGAACAGGTCCTGTTCTTGTGGCAATACACAAGCCAGGAAGAAGAAAGTTTGCACAATTCAGAGACCACAAAATGCGTACTCAGGACTTGTGTTCTCATCCACAAAGCAATAAAAGAGGCAATGAACTAAGTGCCTTTGTTCTCAAGGCAGAGAAGTGCACTGCAGCAAGGACCCCTTCAAGCTCTATTGTGATGCACTTGCTTTGCTTAGGTCATATTCACCACCTGTGCTGGTCAGTGGAAACATCCCAGTTAGGAACAGCCACTTGCTCATGACATTACTTATTGTAATACACATTATTCTCCTCTGTATTTTGACAGATGCCATTCCATTTTTGTTAAACAGAAACATCCTTTACAACTGCAAGGGTATCTCCTTACAACATGATGCCACTACAGCCAACCTTAGAACTTTACCTCTTGCTCTCAGCCCACTGGGGAGGAAAGGGAAGCATAGGAAAGTGTATAACCTTCCTCCCATATATGACATATATTTAAGTAATTTGCTTGTTAAAGTCTTCTGCAGTTTTATAAATTGCTATATAATAACACAATTCACAGCTGTGCTGCTTAAGGATTTTTACCAGTTTGTTTCTGAATGTGCAATGGGCTGCTTCTTTTCAGGCAGTTTTATTGTTGCAGATATACCAAATTTATCATAGCAAGCCAGGTTGGAAGGTACCTCAAGGATTATTTGATCCAAACTTTCAAAAGCACAGCCCAGATCTTACAGCAGGTCTGAATTTCAGTTACCATTTAAAAAGACTAAAGCTCATAAGATAAAAGGGTGAAAGCTCAGGGAGAAAAAAGGGTGAAAGAGCTTAACTTTCTACCTGCAGAGTGCCAAACAGGAATTTCAGGGGACTGAGACAACTCTTGGCTGCATAATTTTTTTCAGGGAGCTAGAAAAAGGAGAGTGAACCAGTTCACAAAGAAAATAAAGTTACTGGACTCCTTACCTCTTTCTCTCATAAAGTTTTTCTCAGCTTCTGGGATCAGGAAATTATAAACCAGCTCTGCTACAATCTCTTCTGACTGTAGGCGAGTTCGACTACAGGACAGATGCACAGTGGTATTAGTATTTTAATTTTCTCTCCAGACCACCTCTGCAAAAACAGGTCTCTCTTGTAAATACTCTTTCCAAGGGTAGTAGTTGTCAGTGGGGTCTCTATCCTACAAACAGGTGACAGTGTGACTGTTCCCCTGTGCATTGCAGTGTGTTCACAGTGCACTGGAAAGCAGGAGCACCTTACATTCCTTATCCTCAAAGGTACTGAGAAGCTCAGTTCCCTCTGATGACAAACTGAATTAGGCACACAGATATCGCTGAGGGTTTGTGTCTTTGTCCATTTAGTCTTTGGTCCATTGCTGAGTTTGCTAAATTCTTCCCTTTTGTGACTCTGCACTTGGCTGGCCCCGTGCTCTGTTCCATGCCAGTGTTTGGTGGGTTCCCAGCTGGCTCAGGGGCTGCATGCATTATCTACACTTCATTCCCCCAAGGATTCCAGCGTTCTGCTTGTATTCATCTAGATACAAAATACACAGCTGCTCTGCCATAGGAGAGTCACTGTGTCATTGGGATTTTTATGGCTCAATACCAAAAACAGAGCATAGAAACTGAACCGGGGGTTTGGCAGGTCCTAAGAAGTATTCACTGCTGATGCTCCAGCCAAACACAGACTGGGGTGTTCTCAACAACTTACTTTACTCAAAGTGCCTTGCCAGGCAGCCAGCAATATGAGTGACCTCCATGGAAATTGGCAGTTCCTTAAAGAACAGCCACCCCAGAATGAAAGGCTGTGTATAGCTGTATCTTTTAGGATCTCTTTCAAATGGATTTTCTGTAGTAGTGTAAATAAATGAAAAGATCGGTATGAATGGGTATTGCTTTAGGCAGTTCCCAGATTCACTTAAAGCTCAGTCACAGCCTCATACTGGTGTGGAGAAATCTAAAGAGGGTGATTCACAGATCACACAAGCGATTTGCAAAGGGAACCTGGCACACACGGTATGGAAATAAGGCTCTGATGGGTTTATATGTGTGTAGCAGGTAGGAGCAGCGTGGTTCCCATGCAGCAGCCACACAAATGAAGTGACCACGAGCAGCACTGCTCTGCCCTGCCCATGGCTTGGGTGATGCCACATGCACAAGGTCAGGCAGGTTCTAAGCTGATGTGAACAGCCCCTCACGTGCTGTTTAATAACCTACCGACTCTCCATTTCGTAAGCAATGTCATTGATTTCTACAGCCCTTTTCTGAACCTCTTCCCTGGCTTGCTCTTCAGCTGTCCTCTCCATGCTACTCAGGATAACATCTTCCAAGTAGGTGTCAATAGTTCTCTCCTGAACATCCACCACCTAGAACAAAACACCAAGATATTGTTCTTCTGCCTATTGCAGTGCCAGGAACAAAGTGGAATATTTCCAGAGCAGTGTGAACAACAGATTTTCACAAGACTCTTTGTTTTGGGCAGGCCAGCCTGAGATTTGTTTTCAGAGATGCTTTCTGTAAAAATTTATTCTCTAGTAATTCTTTCTGAAAACTGATTGAACGAGTGCAGGTGAAAGAAAACCAATTCACAGATCCAATTCTGGTGCAGCAGGTTAGTCCTGTGAATGCAATGGCAGTTGCTCCCTCAGTTCTCACGGTCCCCTGAGCAACAATTCCCAAGTAATAATCATGGATATCGACTTCAGTAAATAAATCAGCTTTCATTCAAGCAAACCCTGAAGGAGAAAATTCCATCAAGCCAGTCAAAAACCAAGATAAAATTATTGGTTTCTTTATAATGGTTGTAGAGCTGAGATTCTAGAAATGGGTGTTTTCCATCTGCTAATCTGCAGGGCATAAGCTTATGGCACCTTGGCCTTACGTGCTTACCACTCAGAAATACATAAAAGATGAGAAGCTAAAATTTTAAAAAAATAAACATCGTGCCAGACCCTTTTGGTATTAACCACCTCCCACAAGGTTTGAAAATTATTGGTTTAGTCAATTAGACTCCCACTCATGTCTTTCAACGGGGAGAAATATGCTTCGTGCAGTCAAAAGCTAGGAAATAGGAACAGGACTATAGAATAGCTATGGAATATGGCAAATCAGTATTTTTTTCTTGATTTCAAGGTTGTTTTATCTATTATTGTTACTTCAAAATAAGTGTTGTACCTCTTGTTATTTGCAGCTCACTTTGGCTGAGGCAGGGAGGAGCAAAATCTTTCCAAACCCTTGCTTAAAGGCATCCTACCTGGCAAAGCGCATACCAGTTCTGATGGGCAGAACAAGTGCTGACAAAAATCCCTACAGATGTTATCCCTAGAGATGATCTAGGTACATCTGTTCTCCATTGGTGTTTACTGGAGAAATTTAGAAACCTACACCCATTCATGACAGGCCTGACAGGACTGTCTGTAGGGGTATTCAGATCATCCTCAGTTTAATGGGCATGACTCTCTCAGGAAGGGTTCACCCTCTCTTCACTAAGTTTCCCCCTCAATTTTAGAACTAGCCACCACCAAAGTCAGCCCTGAAGCAGCTCCCATCCATCTGGGCCTTCCCACAAGGAGGCAGCTCCTACAAACTGCCTCCAGTCCCAGCAGTGTCCCTCTCTTGCCTGTCTGAAAAGCTCATCTTCCTCGTGCCGCCGGCTCTCCTCCAGCTGCCGCCGGCCGCTCTCCTCGGCTTCCTGCATCCTCCTCTGCCTCTCAGCCAGCATGAGCAGAGCATGGATCTTCTGCTCCTCTTGCAGCCTCACCAGCTCTTTGGCCAGAAAATCAAGCATGTTCGCCAGTGCCCTTCCTTCTACCGTGGCCAAGTCTCTTTCCAGTGCTGACAGCTTTCAAAAGAAAAATGCAAAGAATTGTGTTACAAACCCCAGGAATGTTGTACAAAGTCCCAGGACTACCACAGGCATGTGAGGCAGCTCTGCAGCATCCACACAGAGCACGCATGGGACAGTCCCAGGAGTTTGGCACTCTTCATGTGCTACATGCCCTGACTGGTTTCTGCACAGTGCAACCATGAGTACCTGCAGCTTCAGGCATTGAACCTAAAACTGTACAAGTTACTAACTGCTGACAAATTCAAATTGACAGTAATTATATGAAGTTTGCAGAAGTGCAAATGAGACCTCAAAATTCCGGGTAATGGAAAATCAGAAAGTCTGTGACAGAGTTGAGACAAGATTCCAGGTGTTCAGCATTAGTGTGCCATTCACTCCTTGTTCCAGGCACATGTTCTATGGGCTGGGTATGTGTGATTGCACTACAGAGAGAGACAAGATCTATGGGGAGTTCATTATCTCCAGAATGGACTCTGAAGCCACAGGCCTTGGCAGGAGGGAATGTCTGGAACTGGCTGGGATGCTGTGTTCTCTTGAAATAAACAGGCAATTACAGAATAGACCTAAACATAAAAGTTGAAGTGGAGCTGAAATATCCCAGACAAGTAATAATAAATCAGCTTTGCTATACAGCTGTGCCATTTGCCCAGGCAGTGTTTCAAAGGAAGTGGGATTGTCAATGTTGTACAGATCTAGAAGTGACAGCACTTAGCCCACAGGTGTTTCAGATGGAAGATGGTGATGCAGTAACTGCACCACCCCACAGGGAGGGATAACATGGAACTAAAGTGCTCCCTCCTCTTTATTGCTCCAGGTGCTGTATGGAAAACTGGTGTAAAATGGAGGAAAACAACTGAGGAACACTCTTGTGTTAGATTTTTGTTGCATATGAGTCCAAAATTTTCAGCTCCTCATCTTTGACTGTTTTATGTGGTGTTTCCATCCTCTTTAGGCAGGAAGCATTTATTTTACACTAAAATGGTCAAAAAAATGTGAAAAAACCTGTGACCACCAAACCCTATAGAACTGAGAGTCATCAGTGACTTTCTGAAATAGCCACACACATAGAAAACTTCTGCACATGTATTCCAGAGAGTTTTGAAGTTCACAATGTTTGAAAACCTGAACCCTGGACTGTGAACCTACAGACAGTTTAAAAAAAAACTGAGAGGAGGCTGATACCAGCAGAGGGGGATAGTGGCACTGCAAAAGGGAAATTCTGAGATCAGAGGTCAGTATCTTTACCATTTGCTCGCTCTCCTTCTCTAAGAATGTCATTATGATGTTTGAACTGCTTTCTCCTTCACTCTCACCTGGGCTTCCAGAAGAAATGGAGCACTGCAAATTTCTAATACCTTAAGCTTTTATTTTTCTCTTAATTCCTCAGCAGAAATATTCTGTATTCCTGCATTCCACACCTGGACTTACTGTGCATGAGGGAGTATCTGGAAATGCTACATGATAAATGATAAAACTCAATCCCTGTTCAATTTTTACTGGGATCTAAGGGGAAATTTTGTTGCTGCCCAACCAGCAGGAAACAGTGGTCTGGCTTCATCTCCACCAGGTCAACTTGCCAGTGCATGCAGTTATTGTAAAATGGAAGCTGCCAAATTGCCTCACAGCTGGTCATTAAAAATCAGCAGAGTAGTAAAAATTTCAAGAGAACCTGCAGGAATGTGATAGATACTCCATTCTCTGAATTGTAGTAAATTCTGGCAAAATTTCTTTATGATCCACTCCTGACCAGCATCTGCCATTTCATTCACTTTCCTCTGGAAGGTTGTGACACTGTAAGGAAACAGGATGGAAATTTGCATCCCTGGATCTCACCAGATCCTTGGCAGAGAATGGAGCCCAAAATTTCTTTGCTCTGCATACAGTGGTAGGTACCTTAATGGTGACCTTAGTTAAGGTTCTAGAAGTCTTGAGCCCAACAGGATTTACAAAATAAGTTGGCTTTGGCGGCCTTTGTGAGGTTTTATGTGTGAGGAGGAGCCTGAGAGGGTGCCAAGCCAGAAAAGGGACAAGAAAATGACAGAGCAGTAACAAACACTCAGGAAAACATCCAACAGATGTGAGTGACAAGCATGTATTGTGATACCAGGTCATAGTACCCGTCAAATGGATTGAAATGTGGGAAAACTGAGGGTCATCTGACACTGCTGTTTGTTCAAAGCCCTGTAAATATAAATAAGTGCTCTGTCTGCAAACAAAGCAAACACAGGCTGCATAGCAGCTGTGGTCAGGGTGCCTCAGTCTGTTTCTGAGATTCCCCAGAGCCTCCAGAGCAGCGAGAGAGCAATTTTAGCCCCTCAGGCATTCAGTGCTTGGCCTGTGCTAGGAGAGCTTTATTGCTATTGGGATGCCTTCTGTGTGTGGATAATAGAAAACATAAAAAGTTAAATGTGAGAGTGTTGTGGTACTGCAAGCACAGAGTGTCTGGTCAGGACAGAGCTGTGAATCAACCCTGCCATCTATGCAAGCAAACCTGCTTCATTTGTGAGTCATGCTGTCGCTGTAAGGACAGTGTCATTTGCTTCTGTGCCTTCACGAGCAGCTGTCCATCCTCCTGGAGCGCGTGAGTGGTGCGCAGCTCTTGGATCAGATCCAGGTTCCTCTCCTTCCCTTCAAATATCTTTAAAATAAAGGTGAACAACTGAGCATATCAAATGGAGAATATAGAGCAACATGTTTTTGCCAGTAACACACACCCTTTTTCTCCAAGTTGCAAGGTCTGCTGTTACCAAGACCTCTCTATAACAAATCTGTGGCTGCATTTAAGCAAACCCTACAGCTGTCAGGTAAAGCTGCTACTTTTTTTTTTTTTAATTTTTTTATTTTTTATTTTTATTATTATTATTCTGTTTGGCTTTACCCAAACTCAAACCACTGGAATGTGCAACAACACTGCCTGTGTCAAAAGGGTAATAGTTTTCTGCACACCCTGCTATATCAGCCTCAATGTCAAAGCTTCACAGTGTTTTAACACCTCATGTCCTCTGACCTTCATTTTGAGGGAGCCCAAAGCCATAAACTGGTGGGGAGGTTGCTAAAACTGCTGCCATCCCTGTTATGGGGTTATGTGGCCCAGCCCTCCCTGGCACCGTGTTACTCTCAATCCCAGTCTCTTCCAACAGAACTTCCAAGAGCAACAAAAGATCACTCAACCCTGCTTGGTCCATTCTCCAACTCAGTAATGTATTTTGGATCCAGCAGTGGCTGGAAGAAGATTCCTAAAATGGTGGGACATTTCATGGTCTGAAAGTCAACAATCCTTCAGTGGCCTCAACCATCCTTCTCACAGATCATCACACAACTGGAGAACACTTGGGAACTCTATATTCCACCTCAAGCCATTTCCACAATACTATATTATTTGCTAAAGCTCAGGGTCCTGCATGAGAACACTAAAAACCATTAAATAGTTACTTTAAGAGAGAGCATCAACTCTACTTTTTGGGGACACAAAAACAAACCTTCAGGACTGGTCTGATCACAAGCGACAGACTTGCTTAATATAAAGCCCACAAGGCATGGCTACTGAATTAATTTTTAGTTAGACCCCCTTCTGTTCCCCTGAAAGCAGAATGATGGGTCCTGCACATCACAGTGGTAGGCTTCAGTTGCTCCTCATCTGGGGCCCAGCTCACCACCAGTGGAAACCAGAAAGATGGTATGAAATACAAGCTGCCCTCCTGGGATGTGGGAGGTTTCTTGTGCCTAGAACCTTGGCATAATCATGGCAGAATGTACTCATGGTCCAGATCCAGTCTAGAATTTGCCGTTTGAGTAACTCTGCTGTGAAGAGCCTCACTACCCCTGCTTAGTGCTGTGGAAGAAAGATTGCAAACACCCTTTGCAATCAGTCATTCCCACCATCATTCTGAAGACTGACATAAACAAAGAGACACAATACCATGTTCTGAAGAGCCCTGCCTCGGAGCAACTTCTGCAGACAGATCACTGCCAGGTCTATTTCCTCTTCCTCCTGCCAAAACATGACAAATATCCACACAATGATCAGCTATTTCTTTGGAGATTGGGATTTCTGTAGATTATCTGTCTAACTGTTAAACAGTCTAACTCATATCCTGTCTTTCCTTGCTTGTTTCTGAACACCATTCTTTTAATTTCCAGGGAAAGGAAGGTGAGTCAGAATATCATGTACTTTCATGTTTTACAAGGGATGGAGAAGAAAGATTGTATAATTAGATTCTATTTGAAATTTTAGAGGGTCTTTAGAGATGAGAACCTAATGATAAGGAGATGTTGATGGAGAAAATTACTGTATGCATTTTAAGTACTATTTGTAGCTTGACTGAATCTAAGTTTGCAAAAAAAGCATCAGCTACCTTAATTTAACAAGTCGAGACACTAAGAGGACAGAATATGTCCAAGAGAGCTGTTAACCATAAAAAAGGGTTTTAAATTAAAGGGAACATTTACAATTTTTCTTTTGGTATTTATTCCAGTGGTGATATTTATCAGAGTAACTCAGTAAATTTAAGACTCAGAAAGTGATAGTTTGGAAGCAAAATTAACCACAGTCCATTGTGATTTGTCTCTTTAAGAGCTTTCCTGGCCTAGCGTTGTGTGATTGATAACAACTTGGAAGAATGATGGAGCATGGTGGAAAGGGAACATGACCCCTGAAGGTAAAAAAGGGGGCTTATTTTTAATAGAGGAAGTAGACAAAGCACAGATGGCAGCACTTTTTCAAGGTGAGGGGTTTTCTAGGGGAGTTGACAGTAGGAAAAGGAAAAAGTTCATTGGGCGCCTGGGAAAAATAAAAAGAAATCTTAAAACTGGAAGCACGTTTTTTTAAATAAAGAACCTATGAGGTCTGCATTGACATGTGGTATTTAAGAAGTGCTGGAAAAACAGGGAAGAGTGTGGGATGAGAGAAGTTGTGTGGGCTTGAATCTTAGTTATCTGTTTTTTCTTAGGTGTTGAAGATTAAGTTTTCCAAATGCAAAAGGAATCATTCCTGCCTTTCCACACCAGCACTCAGGAGGAGGAAAGCAGAACTAGTGAGAGGACTTGTGATTTGGTATGTTCTTCTTCTCTGGAAAGAAGGAATGAATTTCCAGTCCTAGAGAGCTAAACTCTACCACATCACCTGGCTACAGTGTGAAATCCCTTCAGGACAGTTTTGGAGATGGTGATGGCACACATACTGGTAAGCCAAACTGCTTGGTGTGATACTAAGATTAGGTTTGGATTTTTATGAGGAGCATTTTTCTGTACTTCTGTTTTTGAATGCTGCAAATGATGCCTTAGCAAGTGTAATCATCAGCTTGTCCATCTGCCTGCTACAGACCAGAAGGAAAGAATGAGGGGAGATGAAAAGCTATCATGCCCTGCAGGAAAAAAAAAAAAAAAAGGATATAGAAGAATCTAGGAGATGGCTGTAAACTAGAGGAGGCTGGAATAAAGTTTTAAAGTAATGAAGGAATTCAGAGGTGCTCTGTGAGCTTGTTGTGGCTATTAAGTCCATTAGAAATGACCAGGGGAGAGAAGCTGTGGATGCCTGCAGTCTCCATTCTCTCCACTACATCCTGGCACAGTTTCTTTCCAAGATCCTCAGTTCCAGTGGGAAGCATTTAGCAGTTGGTACTTGTATGGGTGTGTGGCAGGAAGAGAAGCATTAACAACACAGAAGAGCCTTGTTTGTAGTGCTCCTCACAGCCACCTGGTAGGAGAAACCTTACTTGGATTTGGCAAGGCAGGAGATGTTAGGGCTGCTCTTCAGTGGCTCAAGTGGCCTGATTTTACAGAGGGAGTTTCACTGGAGAGCTCCATCTTTTATGTGTTCACACATAAAAATTCTTGAAAATAAACCAAATGTTGACAAAATTAATGAAGATGGAATTCTATTGTATTGGAATTTAAAAAGAAAACACCCAACTATAATCTGTGATCACACCCAAGAATGGCTACAAGTGGTAGAAAAATTTTTCTGATTTCTTTACATGTTACCTCAAAGTACTTAAAAATCTGTCAAACTGGTAAGCCTAAACAGTGTAAACCCACCACTGCAATACAGTATCTAATGCTTAGAAGTTGGTAAAGCTGTGAAAAGCTCTCCCCAAGGAGATAAAAAATTCTTGTTCCAGTCATCTTAAAATAGACTGCATAAAACATAGAACATCATACTGCACAGCAGCATGGATGATTTAATAAGACTTTTTCTCTTCACTTTCATGGTTGTGTGACTCTTAAATTCACAAGTTTAAACAGTAATTCTGTCTGATTCTTAGTACATCATGAAAATGGTGTTAGTTAGAAGACAAAACAGTCCACTGGGGCAACCAGCTCTTAAGTCCGTTACTTTAACAAAGGGAAGGAAGTTGCAGCTCCCCTAAAAAGTAATTTTTTCCTACAGCATATCACAGCCCCCATGACACATCATTACTGCTGTTTCAATCTCTGCAGGAGAATCATTATCTGTGAACTAGTGCATGTTCATCAAACACTGCATCCTGCATGATGACAAGAGCTCCACTCCAGAAAATTAATGAAGTGCATGCTCAGTGCTAAGCAGCCAAGGTCTCTCTGACTTCAGTAAGTCTAAACTTAATTGCCTCACTGGATTATGATAGTGTTGTCAGATCAGAAGGCTGGAAACTACTGAATAACAATGATAATAATAATGATGATGAAGATGATGATGATGCCTTTTTGTCCTCCAAGAACAAGGAAATAACATGTCTACTAATTTTTGTCTTTTTAAAATAAAATTTACTTCAGGATTTGGCCAACAGATACTGTAAATTATTTTCAAATCTTTGGCTGCCAGTATCCTTATAGAATAGAGACCAAGAGAGTCTTAAGAAACAATGATGGCTATTTTTAACAGGGATGGACACAAAAAAGATAAAACTCCCTTCTTTCATTCCCTTGGCATTCCTTTAACAACTGTGTAGGAAACAATCAGGGATCAAAAGGGGAAAATGCTAAAACCAGCTCACTTACAATTGATGGTTTTTCCAGGATTAGAGTGGGTGGTTTAGGAACAGGGCTTTCTACTTTTTCACAGACAGGGGGAGGCTTCTTTGGCTCCTTGGCTTTTTTCTTCTCCAGAAGTTCCTGCAAAAGACATCCAATTTAATATGAATGTGGGTAGACAGAACAACATAACCAGGCCAGTCCTCTAGATGCTGACTACACTGACTACAGGGAGCTGAAAGTTTTGCAGGCCTGTGGCTTCTACTTCTTCCTGTAGATCAACTGAAAAACTGACCATAGTCAGTAGACAAGGTTATTGGTTAGTCAGAAGCCATTGATGGGAATGTCAAAAATCATATGTAAGAAAGAAGCAGGAGTTATTTTACTGTATTTACCAATAAGTCATCAGCACTTGTGAGTCACCTAAAATAATCTAAAATGGGTATGAACTTCATCTCTAATTCTCAAATAATTAATTTTCTAGGAATGCTATAACTATTTTCCTTTAATGATAGTTAATTCTTTTTACTGTGGTTTAGAAATATTGTGCATTTGGGAGGTTTTATGAAGGAGTCACTCGAAGAGGGTATTGTCACTGTTCTGTGACAGTGAAATGTCTTTGTATGATAAGCTATTACTGCACAAGATTGAACCAAATGACCCCTTCCTAGCAAAATATGTTTTGGAACTCTGCTCTGCTCATTTACAACTTCCCAGCAGCCCCATGGCACACACAGCAACTGCACAGGTGAACTGGGGGCAAAAGAGAAACTGTCTTGTCCAAAAATTTCCTTCTACCAAGAAAATGCAAAAGCCCATTAAGTGTAGGTTTATCTTGCTTGCAGCAGATGCCACACTTTGTCAGCAGACTAGACTGGAAGTGCCACCACAGGCACAGCTCTTTCAAGACCTTTTCAAACTGTTTAAAAAACCCAAGTCCTGACAATTTTCCACCACCAGCCCCTTAGAACTAGATATTCAGATAAGCATTTCCAACTGCATGACTGCTGCAGGACATGACACTTTGGCTTGCACAGAAAGGCAAGGGAGTATGTCCATTTAAAGTTCCTTCAAAACTATAATCCTACTACTGTATGGTTGGATCTTTAGCCTTATTATTGAAAGATCATATTCTGGCAAGGGAAAGTCTGCCTTTTCCTTTTTTCACTCTCTCTCTTTCAAAGGTTCAAATACAGTATTGCACCAGGGAGGGAAATCAAAAGAAAAACTTAAGAAAAAAGTTCAATGCTGAATTTAGCTCTCCAGTAACAGGAAAATGATGGCATTTGTACAGAATTTAATTGTGAAATTAATGAAGTTCTGAAACTCCAGTAGTCATTGTACAAAAACCCTTCTTGCATGTAGGATCTGATCTTTCAGGTCAGGATAATGAATTGCTCCAGAAAAGAGGTTTCTAGGTGGAGGGGATAAAATACTTTCCTATTGAAAGCCTCTTAAATAGTCTGTGTTAATAATGGAAGTATCAGAGCCTATAAACTGCTTTTCAGCCATGTGAAATGGTTATAGCTCAAAAATATTGAGAGATTTTCTGAACTGTGTTTTGTATGTAGAGACCTTAGAGCTCCCTAGCATGAAGATTATAACAGAGATTTATAAGGAGATTTGCATGGCAGGGCAAGGGAAGCAGAAAGAAAAAGCTGCTGAAGTTGTGACTCTCTTGAAAACAATGGCTACTATGTTTATTAGTACAATCTTGCATTCATAAGAATTTTCCTAATAAAACTGTGGCCTCCAAAAATGTTTCCTGCTAACCAGAATAACAAAATATAACCAGACTAACAACTTTTAAAGACAGAAAAATCTATGATTAATTTGGACAAGAGGGACTCCTTATTAATGCAGACTTGAGATATACTGCAGTTCTTAGAAGTGGCTTTATGTTTTCATGTCAACAATATCTAGTGCCTGCTTGACTATCTTTACTAAGTAAAAAAAAAATGCTTACCATTTATTTTCCCTAATCTGATGCTTTAAATGATTTTAAGATTTAACAAGAGAAAAAGAAAATATAGAGGGTTTGCCTAAACTGGTTCTGCCCAACTTAACAAGTTCTCATTTTTGGAAACAGAGACACCAGGACTCAAGAAACACTACAAAAATACTTGATTTTAAAAGCTAAAAGTGCTAAATTTCTGAGCAACATACACCAAATGTTACTGTCTACATATCATACTCCAATTTTCCTGATACAGACTACATTCCTTTATTCAGGTAGCAGCTTCAGAGTCAAGGTAGGATCTGACTGGACTGGACAGTGGAAGAACAAAAGTCATCTCTTTTCCATTCTCCTGGCAAACGCAGTGAACAGCAAATGACACTCATGCTTTTCACCATACACCTTGGCTTCTCAGCCAGCTCCTGAGAGGAGCAGAACTCTTCTGTTCTGAACAGCTTAAGAAGCAACTCTCCATTCAAAGAAAGCATTCAATCCATTGTTTAGATTCCTCCATTATCTTCTCTGTGATCCTCTCCATTCCACAAGATCCTAGGTATATTTGATTTTTGTGTACAGCACAAAGTATGGAGTCATGGTTCTCCTTCTTCCTCTTTGCTCACAAATGAAAATTGTGGGATTACAGAATCACAGAATCAGTGAGGTTGGAAAAGATCTCTGAGATCATCAAGTTGAACCTATGACTGAACACCACCGTGGCAAGCAGACCATGGCACTGAGTCTGTCTTTTTTTTCACGTCCTAATTCCAATCTAAACCTCCCCTGGTGCAGTTTAAGACTGTGCCCTCTTGTCCTGTCACTGGCTGCCTGGGAGAAGAGGCCGGCCTCCCCCTGGCTGCAGCCTCCTTTCAGGTAGGATCACTGAGGACAGGCTGCCAACCTGCTCAGCAATGCAGCCTGGCTGCTGCATCTTGGCTGATCAAGACTGACATAAAAGCTCTCAGAGCCTGTCTGAGCATGAGCCAACCAACCCTGTGTGGAGATCTGTTCTTGAAGAAAGAACTGCTTAAACAGCCTTTCCTATGCTTTGAAGTTGGCAGAGATTTTCTCCAGAGACATTCTTGGCCCCTCTACTTCTCTACCTCGTTCCAGCAACCGGATGAAGGAAAACAGACATGGTGAGAATTGCACTCAATGCTGAGGTGAGAAGTTTCTGGTTCTGACCTCATCTTGATACAACACTTTGGAACCACCTGATGCTTCATCTCTCTTGAGCCACCAGAGCACAGAGGGTCTACCTGAAGTCATGTATTGTTCTGCACTGAGATGTCTTCTGCCACCTCCTCCACTCCTTGGTGCATTCACTATACCTAGCTGCATTTACTCCCTGCAGTAGTTATCTGTATTGGGATGTTATGTCCTTAATGTCTTGGATTTTCATACTAGGCTGTCTATATAATGGCTCACTTGCACTCTTGAAGCAATGTTAGCTGTGCTGGCTAGGAACTACCCTTCTCAATCCTTTTACTGATCTGGCTTAAAATAAAGATTTTTGTTTTTACTGTAAATTTTGGGTCACTTCTGTTTCTGCCATGTTCTCTTATTTTACAGAATTATTCAAAGATTACTGAGTGTACATAATACTTCTGCAAAAGGTTTCAGGATGGTCCTAAAAGAAGTTTGCTTCTAAAATCCCTCCTTTTGGCTTAGTTTCATGTCTGAAAGAAGCAGCTCTCATTCTTAGGAGGACACAGATCCTTTTTGTATTTACCTGGATTATTGCTTATCCCTTCTAAAAAGCATTAAGCTTAGGAATACCCTCAGTATGGCAAACAAAAAGGAATATAATGAGGAGAACTCATCCATCTTTCCTCGTGTTTGGCCAGAGAAGCAAGCCTTGACAACTTCCTTTATTAAAACTAATTACTTCTGAGGTCAATATCTAGCATTTCTCCTATATTTGTCACTTGCCTCTAGATAATCCAGGAAAAAAATTAAAAACTCATTGTAGACCTAGATCTCCATGTACTCTGAATTTTCTAGGATTCCACTTTATTTCTAGGATTATGGGAGAGAATTTATGGATTAAGTGTGCTAGGAGAGCATTAAAATAAAGCTTTAGAATAGAAAACTGATCTGGCTACTCAGCTATAGAAATAAAGCAAAGCAACACAGTGCCCTTGTAAGATGATCCCCAATTACCTGCTTTAAACTTCTTTTCTGCTGTGTGATGGGAGGTTTGTTGGCACAATTGGGACTGCTTATTCCAAGTGGTCAGAGAGCTCCTCTCAGGGAGGATTGTCCTAAATTCTGTTAATGCAAGTACTCTGCATGCTTTACTGCTCTGTTTTTGACAGCTCCAGCAGCATTTGAGCTGGGCCTGTCAGCAAGGCTCTGCCAAGCCAGAACATGCTATAGCCATTGAACTTCAGAAACAAAAGCCTCTGATGGGAGAAGTGACCAGGAACAGCAGCATAGAGCTCAACAGCTAATTGGGGCAGTCATTTCTTGATTCTCTGAACAGAAAGTTTGTTTAAATGTAACAGTGGAGGCAGTCTGGGTGTTTCACAGTGTCAGTACTTTCTGCTTGTCTGGACCAACCAGTCTGGTGTCTTTTTCTGTAGATCTAAAAGCAGCAGTTAAATTTTGCATAATGGATTTATTTTATAATTTTTGTCTGCAAAGGAAACAGTTTGTGATTTTGAAAGAATATACATTTGGCATTTTTGTGGTGGGGAAATGAGTATTACTTATGTTAGCCTCTCAGTTGCTATAACTCAATGCAGACCAAGGGATCTACACCAATTTGAGAAAAAAAATGTGTGGAATTGTCTGCATTTGTTCTGCATTCCATCTTCCTTTGTCCACCAGTTTTTCTTTGAAGAGACATTATTGTGTGAGCAGCCAGCATTTGGCTGCTCACAGTTCTTCTCTGTGGCTGCAGTTTAGACATATCACCACAGTCTTTCAAACAATGAGGAGTATTTTATACAGACAGAATACAAGTGCTGTAACTGGAATTCAGCTCCAAAAGCTTGGACTAACATTCTGCTGACAATGAGAACCCTGTTATGATGCATATTACACAATTACTTCTTGAATTTAATGCATACCCACCCAAACTCAAATCTCTTCAACATTTCTGTGTCTTTAAAACTACAAGTTTTGTCCTTACTCTTGAACAATTCCTGTGGCACTCAAGATTTTTTTTTTGAAAGTTTCTTTCTGGATAATAATGAAATGCAATACTCCATCTTTACAAGATCCAGCAGAATTTAAATTTGAGACAATATGACTAATTTTCAGACCAAGATTTCAATTTAAAATTCAGCAATAGCAGATTACTGTCTGTTTTGACATTACTATTGCATTACACTAAAACAAAAGAAGTGTGTATATATATATATATATATATATATATAAAAATGTAAGTGAAACTTGCCAAACTTTACATATGAGAGTCACTATTTTCCAAAGACACAGAAGCCAGCCAAGAATATTCCTGATTTTACATGAAGGTAACCCTCAACAGCATCACAAGAAGTGTACTTAAAAGTACATGTAATTTACAAATATTGTGATTGCAGATGCAAATGAGGCACTTCTTTCTTTGGTGGTTAATTGCATATATGGACACCTCATCTGCATGAACAGTTGTGATAAATTAAGATATGCAAAATGCTATTAGCATGTTTGCAAATCAGATGCTGTTCTTAGGGAACAGTGATATACATCCACCATAGTGACCTGATTTTATGAGTGGGGTCATTTTAATCTTGCTTTGCTACAGATGCTTTTACAATATGTACTTAAAATGTACTTTTAAAATAATGTACAACATTTTTGGAATATGAATCCAGATTTGCTTTCTTTAATTATTGGAAGCTTGACAGTGTAGGCAGTAGTGTATTATAAAATGGAGAAATGAGAATGAGAAAAGGGTGAGAATTTCAAATTGACATAACATTTTCCAATCCAAATACCTGATCTGTAGGAAGACAGATTTGTTTGTACTTGTTGACTATAGGATTGGAGCAGAAGCACAAGTGAGAGTACTGATGGGCTGAGTATCAGAGCAGCACTGGTCAAGCCTGAAATAGTCTGCATGTTTGATTCATTCTGTCCTAGAAGCTGTTTTACAGAATAAGAATTCAGTACAGAAAAATGGGAAGAAGCTTACACATCTTCCCAATTGCATTTATGAGCAGTTCAAATCTAAGAGGAACTGACATGTGTTCATACCTCGTGAACTTGTTTCAGGACTACCTCTAGTCTTCCTGACCTTTTAATATAGCCACTCTTAGTGATATGGCATTTAGGTTTTGGAGCTTTAATCTTGATCGGGAAGAAAGAAGGCGGGGCAGATTTTTCCAGTTCACACAATCCTAAGATTATAATATGAAGAAAGATTATGATATATACAAGGATTTTAATACAAACAGTGGTTAAGTAGTGGAGTGATGGGGAGGGAAACTTGAATTTTGGCAGTATCTCAAGTCTTCCAAAATGCCTTACCTGCAAAGGTGTTAAGATAGTAGTTTTTTACCGCATAGTAGTCAAAATTGTTGTCTGGGAAAAAGCCAATTCGAGACAAAGGAGCATATGTTTGTGATCCAAAGTCTTTATACTCTCTGATGATATCTCGTCTCTCCAGCTTTCCCATCCAATTCTTCCTCTTAGCTATCAGTTTCCTGAGCACTGAAAAGGAAATACAAATGTGAGACAGTTCACACAAATAGTTCTATAAAAGCCAAGTCTTTGTAAATTCACAATAGCTTTTGCTAGATAAAATAAAAACATGACAAACCAAATGCTGGCCATGCACATTGATATTGTGGATACAACCTATTTCATTTTGAATGGATGGTAACCTTGTGAAAATGGAAATGGCTTGTCTGAAAACTGTCTCATACCCTTCTCTTCCTGTCTTTCAGACTTACTCAATGCACAGTCATGCTGAATCTTTCTCATTTTCTCTTCTTTAGCCTTCTGATGATTTTCCCAGTGGTCGTTCAAGCGCATGGCATTCAGCTCATTCCGATTCTCCTCTCGCCTCTGCAGCAGCTTCTTAAAGGCTTCCATTTGAACCTTCTGCAACCTGCAAGGAAAGAAAAGGTCAGGCAGTATTGAGTGTACTCTGCAGTGTTCTGTGCAATGCTGTCACCATCAAATCCTACGTACCTTTACAAATAGCTCATATTGCATTTCTCATATTCAATCTTTCATTTTAAAAAGGGAATTAAGCACTGGTAAAATATATTATGGTAGCAGACCTGGAGACTAAATTTAAGAAAAATATCCCTTCCCAAAATCAGGGTACTTTCACAGAATTAGAAGGCTTGTTGTACCCTTCAGCCAATCCCCTAAACCTTCTTGCTCCTCCTCTACTCAGCAAATAATTAAAAGAAATAAAAGAGCATAAGTGGACTCCTACTTATCTATTTCCGCTTCTCTATAGGCCCACTCCTTCCTTTCCATAGCCTCCATCATCTTCAACCTCTTTGCAATGTTTGAAGGACTGTCCATGGGTGGCAGGGCTGCTTCCCAAGCGCGTTTTTCCCGGATACGGTCAATAATCTCCATTTCAGCTTGTCCTGCTGGCAGCCCCCGACCTTACAGGGACAAGAAGCATTACCTCTTTGGGAAATTGGCAAATCCTACAAATAGCCACCACCAAAAAGTGTGAGAGGGCTGGATGGGTACAGGACCATGTAGTAAACACAAGCAGAACTGTCAAAAGCCAGCAGTAAATACTTCTAAGGCCAGCAGATTCTACAGTACGAGGCATGGTAAGAGCTGCAGTTGCTATAGTTCAGTGCACACTAACACTGGCACTTCATTCTTCTACTGCAGGCTGCAAAGGGAGAAAAGCTTTTCTAGGAAGATACTTTCTGAGAATGAACACTTTCTTTGGCATGTGCCGTGTCAATCATTGTTACAGGTGAGACACTGGGAGATGAGGATCACAAGTATGTTCTGGGGCAGCAGTCTTCATCCTGTTTTTTTGCAATGATGTTCAAAACTCAGAGCAGCTGAAGAACAGTGGGTTAATGGAAAAACTGCTCCTAGTTCCCATTTGTGAAACATGACCTTTTTATATTGAATGGTCTTCAAAACCCTTCATGAAATGCCCCAGAACCATTAAGTAGTGAAATATCATACTTATTTTAGAAACAGACAAAATAATTGCCCCAATGCACACAAAAGACCACCAAAACTGGCAATAGCCTGACATTGAAAAGAAAAGAACTTCCTGCTAAAGAGGTGACATGATTATTTTAATTTATCTTAATTTCACAACTCACCCCAAGTGAGTGTAGCAAGTGCCAGAATTTCAGGGACTGAGCCACTGCGGACTATATATTCAGGGGAATAGGGATCTGTCTGTGCTTCACCATCCCTGTAATCTGTCTGTGTCCCCAGGGTTCGGAACAAGAGGCTGAGGACCTGGCTGTCCCCTGCATCCCCTGCATCCGCTGCATCCTCTGCAGCTGACAGGGTACGCGACTCTCTCCTAGAAAGAGGTGCAAGATGGAAGATTGGTCACAGTCATTAAAGAAAACTCTAAGCAAGCAAACCAGAAACATGTCAGTCAAAGGTGGGAGTCTTAAATGTGTTTCCGTTTATCTTAACATGACTCCCATTGATGGTGACTCCATTATCTTTGGTAAAAGCAGACTGAGGCTACACTGAGTCTGAAATACCCTTCTTAAGTAAATAATCCAGAAATCTTCTAGTTTCAGTTCTCGTGATTATTACATACAAATCTTCCCTACCAATCCATTCTAAAGCATTGCATTTAATGGACACAAAATTGTCGAAGTAACATGAAGTAGGGCTGCTTCAATTTAGTTTATATGTTTCTCTTCCCAACAATTACAGAATAAAAATTTAATTCTGATATAAGCATGTGCAATTTCCATTAACTCTACCAGGAAGTGAATTTTTTTATGTGACCTCAAAATTTGATACTCTCTGAAAACCACATTAAGACTACATTACTGATGCTCTACATCTCTGAGCAGCACTGCATCTATCAGAGATTGTAATAAAATATCAGAAGACTTTCCAGCAATATTGCTCTACTAGAGAATCTTGGCAATGGTATCTCTTCTAGAATTCAGAGACACCAAGCTTTCTCTTTCAAGCCTCACAGTCTTAACACACTAGAGGCACATCCTTTATTCACAAAGCACTTCTTATATACTGCAAGCAAATTCTGAAACAGTCCATCATCTATTTCCTCTAGAATTCTCAATGATGAGAGCAGCACCTTACCTCTTAACAAGCTTTTCCTGTTCGTTCATTATGAAAAATGGTGGTCAACAGCTAAATCGCTTCCTGATCTTTTTCTGGTGAGATGTTACCCACTACAACAGTAATTTTCTAAAAGTCTTACTACTTACCCTTTCTTTGTATCAGCAGCAGCTTCTGGAACACCTGCTGGAAGCAGCCTAGAAAAGCTGAGAGGCCTGAAGAGAGAGAATGAAAGTAAGACAACAAGGAGGAGCCTAAAAGATCATTAAGGTTCAGAAAAAATGCAATCCACTAAATTCAGTGGAGTTAATACTGATTTTCCATAACTGTGGTTCTGTTAGTTGCATGTTTAAGAATTGTGCCTAAATATTAAAGAACTCTTTCATAGCCAAGGAGGAACAGAGTTTACAGTTTCACCAATAAACACCAGGACTGAGTGTTATTCTTGTAAGTCAAAGCAGAAATTGGAGTTGCAAAACAAGACAATTACTAAAGTTAGTTTTGAGTGTGTTCCCATTATTTTGTGTATGTTTCACTAAGTATCTTACTTTTTTACTTCACTTTCACTCTTTTGAAAGAGTAGTGGTTTTTTTTAATAACTGCTTGAAATCCTGAAATTCACTCCTACAATTAGCTGATAAGCTGGTTTGGACTTATCTAGTTTTATTGTTTCATTTTTTGCAATACTTTATGAGGTATCTTGAAAGTGATTTGGGCTCAACTACATATTAATAATTCCTTCCTTGGCATTCTTATAGTTTGCATATTGCAGTTCTCTGTCGATTTCCCTTAGCCTTTGGGAGACTTTGAAGCTAATTTCACATTGCAGAAGATAACATCATCTTTGTTCTTTTAAAACTGTTGATAAAGGAGCAATAATAAACTTCAACTTATTAAATTTTGCAATTTTTTTATATTTAAAGTGGATATAGCGGCCAATAGCTGCTGAGTAAAATAGTGACTTCAATTCAAAGTGTATGTCACTAAGCCAAGAATCTTATATGGTAGCTGTTGGTTCAGATTTGAGTCCATTGCTGACCTACAATGTCCTTGTGGAAGGAGCAGAGCAGTCCTGCAATAGGGGACATGGATGAAAAGTTAATCAAGGCTTCCCTTTGCTCCCTTTCTGCTCCTGGAAGAAACTGGGAGTTAAAGGGTTCCTTCTTAAGAAAACACCTTTCTAGGGGTCTGGAGAACCACACTGCCTTTGTAAATATCTTCCTCCTCTGCACGATGATCTACAGCCCAAAGCTTTCTTATTAAGTACAGAATGTCTGATATATTTGCTTACATGGTAACTCATAACTGAAAATTCTGTCATAGTGTGAATTTAGAAAGACCTTGTTAAGACCTGGTTACTATTAAAGACCTTTAAGACCTGGTTACTATTAAAATTTTTTATTTTGTCAAAGAACTGATCAAAGTACTGACAGAAAATACAGAAAAAAATAATGCTCTGGCCTTTATTTAGGTGCTCTTGAAAATGCACAGAAAGAAGCTGAACCCTGTTTTAAATCAGTTCATTCCTTACCGTGTAAAATATTTGTAGCGATTCCTTCCATTAACTTCAGGATCTTCATACACAACCCGAGGCAGATGAGGAGAAGACTGACCTCTGAAAGCCAAAATACAGGACATCATTTAGAAAGTACGTTCAGAGCAGTTATATTTTTTCCTTATGCCTTTTTTTTTCTCTCTCTCCCCTCTGGTTGCACTATCCAACATGCACATTACAAATTCCCCCCAAGCCTCACACTTATACAAGCAATTTTATTTTGGTTTCTTCACATTTACCTATGTAGCAAAACAGTTTGACACTTTATTTCCCACTATGTGTGGTCAGGAAATGATCTTTACTGCCTTTATTAAAACTTTTGAGCTTGTTATGAAAAGCATTAACCACTTGTACATGCTTTACTTTGTACAGGAAACCACTTTTATTGGAAGTGGGGGAAACAGGCTTATTGTCTTAAGAGTGAAACAGTTTCCAAGTACATGTAAAGACAGAATGAGCAAAGGAGAATACACTTTCTACGTTTGAAAAGTTGGTAAAGAGATTTTGAGCAAGTGTTTAAAAATTTAGAATCAGAAATTTCAATTTGAGTTCTCCAGTAAAGGAGAAAAATTAGGACAATCATGGGAATGTTTCAAAATCTATTCTGGAACAACCATATCTTTTGCAAGAACACTTCTTTTTTTTCCCCCATTTTGAATTTAAATTTTGCAGATGGTTTAAATTTTTCACTGTAACATCCTGAAGAGTCTTCTTTAAGGCTTTGGAAGATTATATGGAAAACCTCATTAAGGCAGTCAGTGAGATAATGGGTAGAACTGAGAAATTTGAAAGTTATTAATCAGGATTGCTATTTGATTTAACAACTGCTTTATACTCCATTCTTGCTCTTCTCAACCTGCACAGTTGTTAAAGACAAAAAATAGAAGTTCTTCCTAGAGAAGCTGTGGATGCCCCATCCCTGAAAGTGTTTGAGACCACACTGGACAGAACTCTGAGTGAAAGGTATCCCTGCCCAAGGCAAGGGGGTTGGAACTACATGATCTTTAAGGTCCCTTCCAGCCCAGGCCATTCTATGATGATTTATTTCTTTGAGCTATGTACAAGGCAAGTCCTGAAGGCCAGGTTTTCTATAAAACCATTTTTGGCAACTTGTATGAATTCTGACCTCAAGATGTACAGGCTTGTGGGTACTGGGGTTGGTTGCTGACGCCTGATTTTAAGTACAAAGGAATATTTACAGAGATACAATTAACAATACTTAACATTGCTTGACAGCTGAGATCAAAAAGAGGGTTATATGCTGAGACCTGTTGTCATCCAAGCCCTCATCTAATTCCTGCAAACTGTGCTGTGGAATCTGGGGAGGCACAGTATGGCTACCTGCCACAGGAAAGCTTTGAGCGAGATGCTTCATTAACCTCCCGTGACACACAATTTACTGCCAAGGTAAGTTTAAAGTCATCTCTTCCCAAGGCTTTCAGTCACATCACATAAGAAAAGAGTAGGGAATATTTTGAGATGAAGTGTCGTAACCTGATATACTTGCTCAGCACTAATCAACCTATTATTGTGAGGTTGTGTTTGTAATTCAAATGAGTTAATTGAGCTGATGGCTAGTTCCATTAGCTGACTCTTTACATATCAGACTGTTGCTCCATCCAGATGGATTTGTGGTTCATTCAGCACAGGTGGGCACTTATTCTTATGATCTAACTTTATTAGCATAAACCGTTCATCCTGTTATGGTATAGTTATAGGCACAATGGCAACCCAGGGAAATAGCCCTTTTTATTCCACAGATCCTGCCTCTTGCATGTCCTTGACTTATATTTGCTGACTTTGCTGAAATAAATGAGCATTTATTCCCAGTAACCTTGCAGAGGCAATGCAACTACTGAGAAGACAGCTGGGAAATATTCTGTCTTCCGTATCAGCATCACTGTCAATCAGTGCAGGTTGAAACACAGGGGATGTATTTCTCATTTTTTGTTAATTGCAAGACATTTTGCAAATACATGTTGTTGAAATGTAAATTAACTTTAAAGCAGTGCAGGTGTCAAGCTGTTACAGAATTGCAGGCAAAATGTAAGAAGTGACTGAGGTACTCATGCACTGGGACAGTCTGAAACACTGAAAATAGTATTAAGAAAAAAATACTCCAAATTTTATATTTTTATTATGGTAATGAGAAGAATATGTCTTTAAAACTGAACAAAACCAGGTATGAAATCCACTGTATCACTCTTGAGCATCTTTGATTATTATCTGGCATATGGCAGAACTCAGTTACCAGCAGCCCCAGAGCAAGCACCATCTGAAAAGCCCATGGTCTAAAGTCAGTTGTTTAAAGCAGAAAGAACCTTTGAAGACCAAAACCTAGGCTGATGCCCGCAGTCTTGAATACAGCTACAAGAGGAGTTAAAAAACCTGTGGTGTGGCAAAACACATAAACTTTTTTTTTTTTTATATCTGCTGAATCAGAACCCAAATCAAAATCAAAGCCCAGACACCAGGAGATAGCTCAACTAAGAAACCCCTGCACTAAAAATGTGGCGCCCTGGTTCAGGCCCCACGGACTCTGGAAGGAACAGCAAAAGCAACCTAACCAGCTGCAATTGCACGGGACTAAAATCAAAGAGCTCCCACTGAAGTAACACACATGAGTCACTGAAGTCTTCGTAACTCCTCTGATCTGTAAGAGATTGAAATAACTCTCTTCTTTTTCATGGCAACCGCTGCAAAGCGGATAGCTCAGGGATGAAGGAATGTGCAACATCCACCCTGTAAGAAACAGATGGGTAACCATACTCCACAACAGCTGCAATCTCTTAATTTCAAGGGAGATATAAGTAGGAGCAAATTGCAGTCATCTCCACTTCAGTGTGCATGGCTTTTTGTTGGTTTTGTTTGTGTGTTTGTTTTAAACTGTCCAACCATAGAACACTTACACAGCAAGGCGCTGAAGAGCCTCCAGGCGCTGCTGAGCCCTCCATTGTCGACCAATATATGCAGGCACTGGATCTTCACTCTTTAAACACAAACTGCAGGCTGGAAAATGAATCACTCCGGTAGCCATGCTTCAGAATATCAGTGCCTTCACCTAGCATTTGTGTGGACACAAAGAAGAGAGGCTGCAATTTAGCCCCTTCAAACAGCACTAAAGAGAGCAGAATTCCAGCCTGCTGTGATTTACAGGACTGCACATTTGGGATGGGGAAAGAAGGCGGTATACGTATGCTAATGATGTCAGCTAGTTAGATGCTTCTTCTCAAGATGTGGAGCATACCAGACTAGCAGCAGATGCACAGATTTGTCTTCTGGCTGTTTTCCAGTGCTAAACTTGTACTGAAAACCAAAAGGTCTAACGGTTTGTTACATAAAGAAGTTAGTGTGCAGTAACTGTGAATGTGCAGCGATGTGAACTTCTAGCACATTACCCCATGTAACTCCCTCCTATTTCTAGTGCTCTAGAAATTAAGTAACATATTCCACTTGCAGGGTAAAGTTACATTATTTTATACTGGAACAATTTTAGCATTTGTTAAAAATAACTCAGGGAGCTAGCATACAAAAATGATCACATTAAACATCTACACCCTTCCTTTTAAGGACTAATTTCCCTGGGTAGATATGCCTTAAATTGCTAAATTTATGGCTGCCAATAAATCTTTGCAATCATAAGTGATGTAGCTCTATTGGCTTGAGCTTCTGTACAGACTAAAATCAGAATTGAGTTGTGAATTGCCCCTTTCATTTCAGCAGGTGCTAACTCAAATGCATACAGGTGACATTTCAGAAATACTCACCAGAATGTAAGACAGTGTCAGTTGATGAAGATCTAGGCACCCTACCATGAGTAGCTGCTTGCTGTGCACAAAATTGCATTTTTGTTCCATTTGTCTTCAAAAGGAGTTCAACTTTTGAGCATTTGGAATACCCTATGAACTAATACTATCACAACCTCTGTCCACCCCAAATTGTGAAGCTACAGATTAAGAATTCAAGGATGTAGTGTTTTGAATTGTACATTGTACACTTGCTGATTGATTCTAAAACGTGTTTTATACAACAGTCTGCCACCACACCCATCTACACCATTGACATGGCAACACACCTGTGACATGGCAACTTTAGTGACAGGATGCCTGTTTACTTCATCTGGCCTGAACTGTTGGCACAGCCATATTGCTGCAAGGGTCTCGCTGATGACAATGTTCCCAGCTCTGTCTCTCTAGGGACAGGCAGACAAACACTTATTTGTTTTCGTGTAGATATAAGAAATATTCTGAGATAATGTAGTAAGAGATATCCAGCAACATTCTTAAAAAAAAATGCTCCTTGACTCCATTGTTTGAAAGCTGCTCACGGCTTTTCTCCTTGCTGTACAGCAATGAAGTCTGAGTTCAGAACATCTGTCTTGCAGCCCCAGTCACATGCATAGCTTCAGGAGGACTCTGTGTAAAATCCAATTCATCGTGCAGTTGCATCAAGTCTGTTTTCCTCTGGCATTCTACCTGTGTTCATCCTGTGCAGCTATCAGTCACTGCTGTCTGAAGGTGTGACTGAACCCCCCAGAGATATGCCCTAGCTGCTTCTAAACTAGCTAAGGGGAACACTGACAGCTAACCATGGGCTAGCCAGGTAAGGATTAGCTAGGAAGTTAAACTCTGCTAATTCTGTATGAAGAACCAGCATGGATTTGCAGTCTTTATTGGCTGCTTAGATGTTACTGGATATTTCATTTTAGCCTAAGTAGGCTACATGGATCTGTAGTGTAAGTATCTCCCAAGGTAAGGAACTGACAGCTCTGCTTGAACAACAGCCCAGCAGATGCCCACTTATTTTATTAGATCTAAGTAACATATACAAGCTATAATTAGGAGTATTTGAAGATAGACAATTAAAAATACTGACACACAGCTTAGGAAATGACTCAGAACATGAAGCTGGGTATTTCTAGGCTGGTGCTATAGAGTCACTATAGGCCAGCAATCATGGCTACTCCCTATGTTGTCTTGTTTTAGATAAAATTTCTTTCTCTGCTTTGTATTTTGCTGTTCTAAGGGAGCAGCTTAGGACTGAGACAGAGTTTCCACCCATGCGTATGCAGAAATAGACAAGGTGAATATGTGAGCTGTCTTTGGCCAACACCTACCAAGTTGAGCATGGACATTTCACTTTGGAGGGTCCTTCTCACTTCACAGTGTGTACAGAGGGCCTGAAAGACAATTGAACAAACATAACTAGTTACATATTTGAGAAATCAGCATGAATCATCAGGCTCCACTTCCTTCTTTAAAAGTCTGTCTATAAGAGAGAATGAAACAAACTAGGAAGAAAGAACTGATATATATGTCTCTGTATCAAACAGATGTCACCATCATGCAAATGAGCCTCAGAACCGAAATCCTACTGCTCTGTGGAAGATACAGGTGAAAAATCTAGTAGAAAAATCAGCTTTCTTTGGAGGCACCATCAACTTAAACAGAAACTGTGATGACATGAAACATTAAAAGGAAGGCATGGTGGAATGGTAATCAGTGGAAATACCATACTGTACATGATGCTTCCCTCTGGGACACAGAGCTGGCTTTGCTCCAGCTAATGTTTCACGGTCCCGGCCTCGCCGGAGCCGCCAGCCCCATCGCTTGCCCGCTGCTCGGGCGGCACCCACCTCGTGCCGAGCTCGGCGAGGGCCCCGGGGCCCTGGGGCGGGGGGTCCCTGGGGCGGGGGAGGCCTCACGCCCCGTCCCGCCCAACTCCCGGCGCCCCGCCGCCCAAGGGCTCGGCTTGGCCGTACCGGGGCTGCAGCGGGGCCGGGCCGCGGGCGGGGCGCTGCCGTCTCGGCCGGGCCCGGTACTGAAGGAGCAGCCAAAGGTCCGGCCGGGAGCCCGTCCCCACCGAGCGGCTCCGGCCCGCTTGCCGTTCCCATGGCCACGGCGGGCGGGCGGGGCCGGCAATGTCCCGCCCCTGCGGCCGGGCGTTGCTGCGGGCCGGACCCTGCCCTGCCCTGCCTGGCCCTGGGCGCGGCTAATCGTGACCCTGCCCTGCCCCGGCCCTGGGGGCGGCTGATCGCGACTCTACCGGAGACAAACGCGCCCCTCGGGGTTTTTCCCGGCCGTTCCCTTCGTGGTGCTGCTTGTGCTCCCGCTCCGTCCAGCAGCCCGCGGCCGCTCTCCGCAGTTCCTAAGGCTTCGCCCTGCCGCCTCCATCTTGTGCCGCCTCCGGAGAGCGGCGCGGGCGTGGGAATGTGGCTGGACTCTGAGGAGGACAGGGCACGGGCGAGGCCGGGAAAGGAAGGACACGTGTATTTCTGCTTTTCAGCAGCTGCTGCTTGAGTTGTTTCATGTGATGCTCCCGGGACCCTCGCTTAGTGCCTAGGAAATCTGGTTTAGCGGTTACACTTAGGGACAGGATTCAAGGCTGGATATTCTTATTCTTGGCTTTGCTTGTTGTCACCTAGGACTTCTTCTGCAGCTCTAAAGTGCTGAAAGTGAGTCCAGAGAAAAGCCAGGAAGCTGATGAAGGGTCTGGAGCACCAGTCCTGCGAGGAGTGGCTGAGGGAGCTGGGCTTGTTTAGCCTGGGGAAAAGGAGCCTCACTGACCTTCTCTCCCTAGAATTCCTTGAAAGGAAGGTGTAGCCAGCTGGAGATTGGCCCCTTCTCCCAGGCAACCAGTGACAAAACAAGAGGACACAGCCTTAAGATGTGCCAGAGGAGGTTTAGATTGGACATTAGGAGGAATTGGACATTGGGATGGACTGCCCAGGGAGGTGGTGGCGTCACCCTCGGTGGAGGTGTCCAAGGAAAGACTGGACACGGCTCAGTGCCATGGTCTGTTTCACACGGTGGTGTTTGGTTACAGGTTGAACTCAGTGATCTCAGAGGTCTTTTCCAACCTAACTGCTTCTCTGGTTTTGTGAAAATAGGCTTGGTACCTAATGCCCACAGAGGCTGCAGGGCTTTTTTCATGTGTAGAGCATCTCAAGAGTAAAAAGTGTTACAAATAAGCATCGTGCTTTGCAAAACATTGCTGTTTCCTCAAGGAGGGGGCCATCCTTTTCTATAAGAAACAAAGTTGGAAGCTTCTTCATGCTAAATGTTAAAACCAGAAAAGGCTGATGCTTTTGTGAACATGAGGAGATTTGCAGGCAATGCTGCCTAGGAATAGGACACAAAAAACAGAGAAATTGAAAATGGGCCTTCTCCTCTGTCTATAATCTTGAAGCAAGTACCTTATGTTAGTTATTTTGTGTATAAAACTGTATATCAAAGGGTTTTTCACAGCTTGTCATGTCTGTCATAAAATGCTGGCCCCTCAGTACCTCATTACAGGAAAGCAGTTCCTGTAGTAGTTGTAGTTCCTGTTGTAGTTCCAAATTCCTTGGCTCTGTGAATTTACTTGTAGACAATTTAATTTTGAATGGTAGTTTACTTTCTTAAAGGCCCATCCCTTGCCTGAAGCAACAATATTTTTAGGTTAGTAGGTCAACTGAAGACGTGTCTAAACTAAGAAATGCTGCCACAGCTTTGTTTCTGACAGACATCATCTACATCTGTACATCTATAGGATGTGACTTCCCACAATGGATTGATCCACGTTCTGAAGATACCCAGCAGGCTGTAAAGACCCTCATTTTACTAAAGAGCTTTACAATGTGATACCTTATTATAATTTTTGATGTGGCAACAAAAGCCACTTTTCAATAGAGTTCCCTGGCATTTCTCATTATCAAGTTCAGTTTTCCTTCCTTGTATCATGATTTCCAAGCTGAATTTTTTCCATGTTCAACATCTGCCTTGGGGTAATGAGGTGTGTAAACTGTATTTTGGCCAAGAAATTATTCTTTGTTGGCTCCACCCTCTGATATTTTTCCATTTTAAGGTTTTCAGAGATGACTAAATACAGGCCGCCTGGACTTCTTTTTTTCTTTTGTGGAATGGATGAGATGGAAACCAAGTTGAGAAGGAACAATGGAATAACTGAATGGGTTTTTGAGAATCCTACAAGATACCAGGGCACAGCCAAACAGATAAGTACTCTCTGGAGTCATGTACAACCAAAAAGGTCCAATCCCATTATTAACTTTTACTGCATTAAATTGGACTAAATGTGAGATGTTGCCACATTTTTTTGTTCATCATGAGCTGCCTGGCCCTGCTGCCTCTGATCTGTTGAGTGCTGGCACCTGAAAGACTATGTAGGGAACCAGCTCTGGAGACTGATGTGGCTGAAAACTAGCTTGTCAAAAATAAAAGATAAAAGTTTTTAGGTCACTGCATAGCTGCCTGAAGAGCAGTATTTATTCATGGGAGGTGACAGGTATATGTAGCTGATAAAGCTCAAGGTTAAGGTTCACGGAACTTGCTTTGGTTAGAATGTGTGTCTGGGTAAAATATTGGCTAATATTTAACTATATTTCTAAGAAATCTCTGTGAACTACAGGTATAAACAGTGGACGGCCTTAAAAGTGTTAAAAGTTATGTTGATTATTACTATATCAAGTGTTCTTTGCCTGAAATTTCCATATTCTTCTGGACCTGAAGCTGTGTGAGACCTGGCCAGGCGCCTAGCACACTGCCCTGTGCTGTGGAATGCACTGCGAGGGCTGAGTGCTGAGGTTTGGTCTGAATGGATCTTGTTTATTTATTTATTTGCTTGTTTTTAATATAAACCACACATTTCTGAAGAAAAATATTCCGAAATACACAAGGCTCTGAGGAAATATTTGATCCCAGGCATTAAACTTGGCAATCTTCTCAATGATCAGTACTTTGGAAAAGTACTCAAAGCTTATCTGGTAGCTTGATCTGTGTATGTCAGGGACATGTCCTGTTGCTCTGGTGAAAGAGCGCTGCAGTCAACTGAACTGTAAGCAATCAAAAAAGATTCCTATTTCCTAAAAAAAAAAAATCTTGACTGATGAGCTTTCTACTTAGATCTGTGAGCCATAGGGTTGGGGTTTGGTTTTTTGGTGTTTTTTTCCATTAATAACTTTTCCAGAACAAGTGTTGGTGAGCTGGGGTGTTGTCTATCTGGATATTTTTTTTATACCCACTTGGCTGCAGGGCACACCAGGTGCTCAGATGTGTGAGTAAACTGTCCACACCCTTGAGAGTTACTGCACAAAGTCTGAGTGGATTGACTTTGCATGTTGCAAAATGGCAGAAAAGTGTGCTAGTTTAGCTGTGACAAAGGCTGAGCCAAATTAATTTTACCTCACATTAACCTTGAGATAAGATGGTGTAATTTGCTGCAAGATGAATTAGTGCTGCTCTGTTGATGGACTTGTTATGCTGTGATGACTTGCTGATGTGTTTGAACTGTAAAATCAGACAGGGGGAAGTAGAAAATTTAGCAGTGTAGGATTAGGCACTAATGATTTTAGAGAAGAAACTTGGCTGGCTGAGCAAAGAACAAATACTGGGAGAGTGAGGTGGTAGAGAACCAGTATGGCACAGGGAGAAGGGAGAGACAGGGTGAGCAGCCAGTAGAGCAGAACTGAAGACGTTTGGGCAAGAAAATGGGAGACATAGGTGAGGAGCTGAAAAAGTGAGGAAGGGTGTGGAAAGGGCAGGGTTAGGGAGGATAAGGCAAAGAAGTCGAGCTAAACAGATGATGAGTCTCTAGTCTGTTTTCCTTCTGTCCTCCAAAGCCTGGGAGGGAACTGGGTTTCTTGAATGTGAACTTTTATCCTGCAATCCATGACAATCTGTGAAATCCCTGGCAAGATGTCATCCATCTGGCTTTAAGTTTCATTCCGTAGATGGACATCTGCTCTTAAGCAGGGTCAAATGACTGCACTGTCATAGTGTTGGATGCCTGTGATGCTTCGTGGAGACCTTTTCTACTTATTAAAAAAAAAAATCTAAGCTACAGGAAATAAACTTCTAGCCTCAAAAGCACTGTTGAGTCTTTGCTATCCGGAAGTTCCAAAATAATCTATTTAAAATAGGTAACCGTTTGTGTGCCATTTCCCTTTTTTGCCACAGGATGTCACAATTCCTCCATGTATGGTCCTGCCCACCACAGGCTCTAACCTGAGTGCCACCAGTTCCGCTGTTGTATCCAAATGTGAATTGATGTAAAATAGATTTGGACCCATCCACAGTAATCCCTGGGATTCCTGTTTGTTCCCTGTCCGTTCCACACAATTCACTCTCTGTGTATAATAAACATCTTTTCCGGGTGTGTTTTTCAAAAGGAAAGGAGCAGCACAAGGCTGCAGTCCATGTCATTGCTAAATTTTTAATCCAGAACAGAGCCTTCCTTCCAGCCAGCAAAAAGGAGGAGGCAGATGTGGATACTATTTCCATCAGAAAGCAGAGGTAAGTGCCAAAAAGATGTGAGGAGACAGATGCTGTGACATCTACTGCTTTGTGGATTGAGGCCTTGTCTCTGTGACCACTGTGGCATACCTCACTTGTAACTTGTGACACCTCTTGTAAAAATGGCCTTGGAGTACTGATCGTGGTAAATGGAACTTCACCAAGGTGAAGCCTGTGGTTAATTTGTGCTGTTTTTACTAAGAACCACGCTAAGACAGGCATCTTCTCACACAACAGCTGAAATGAAAAAAAATAGATGAAAGTGTTTATAGGAGACCTGTTCTCTCCTGCCATCTTTTTCTCAGTATGACTGTAGGCACATTTCCTGTAATAAAAGCAATACACAGATGAGAATAGCCTAAAAAGTCAAAGGAAATGAAGTAGTGGTACTTTGTGATCACTGTTAGAGAATTCACTTCAAAGCCTGCTAAAAGACTTTTGTAATGATTTTGATTAGCACTTAAAAAAATTAAGAAAAAGAAGGCAGAATTAAGGACATTTTCAGCCTATGGTTCAAATTGTGACAAAATCAAAATTTTACCAATATTTCAGGCATCCTCTGGAGGACAGTTATATACTTAATTTCACTTGGATTGGGTCATCTTCTTAAATGATTATTCTTAAAGAATAGAGCTAACATTTGGATGATTTGCAGGGCTGTAGTCAGGCATGTTGTCTTGCCTCAGGAGATAAAGGATCTTGGATTGAACTCCTCAGGGAACTAGAGAATTTCTAATGTTCTTACTCCTCTCATGTAATATTCAGAGGATTAAATGCCAGTACCATTGTGTTAGCTTGCAGGTTCAGTTCTCAGTGCATTAAGACACTTTTCTGGGGACTGAATTTTTGTGCTTGCCTGATCTGAAGCAAGCATTAGAAACTCTCGATCTTCTGTGACTATTTTAGCCACTCCTTTTGCAGAAATTAAATATCTGGACAGAAGTGCTGCAGACATTAATTTCAGCTTATTATGACACAGTATAACTCTTCCATATATTACACTCTTACTTACTCTTAAACAATTAGTGCAATATAATCTTAATACAATCTACTAAAGCTTTCAGCATTTTCTTATCATCTTTCATCTTTAATAAAGCTTTCAGTATTTTCCTATCGTCTCTCAGCTTTAATTGCAGTCCACCAGATGAAGGTCAGGTGAGGGCTAGCACACATCCAGGGGCCCAGGGGTTCAGGCCTACCAAAGAAAAAAAGGTGAGAAGGGAATGACTGGACGCTGGGGCCATTGACAGAAAAAAGCTAGAATTGGATGGGGTGTCCACAGAGCCCTTTCAAGGACTGGGGAAAGATGTAGAAGTATCACTTCCCTCATGTTAAGAGAACACAGCCTGCACTCTTCAGTCTTGAGAGTTCCTCTATCTTTCCTCTCTGTCTGCATGCACACAGTCCTTCCCTCACCACTTCCCAGTCCCTCATGGTGGAGACTGAACCAAACAGGATCTAGAGCACATCATCATTGTCTTGACATACCAACTCTGAGAATATGATAAGAGTTCAGCCTCTAGCATGCTGATATGGAAACATCCTCTCTTTGATA